CCTTAACAGAGTACACCACTGCACTCCAAGCAACATGACTGCACATCAAATTCCTGATCTGCCACCAGAGTCCCCTCCCTCAAAGTAATTAGCTTCCAGATGGATACCTTTAACACAGAGTAAAATATTCAGACAACATAAAGGACATTTAGACCTTAAGGCAACTGTAAGTTGTCCACTGCCACCTGTGTAGTAGCTACACACTTATCTTAGCTATGTTCTGGGGAATTCTAACAGGCTCCAACAGGCTTCAGTCATCTCAGTGAGAAAAGAGGAACACTGATTTATCGGTACTCTTGAAGGAACCTTATCAACTGATGGTTTAATGATACAGCAACCTTACAGACTGGTAACAAAATAAAAGGATCTGGATGACAGTGTGACAGGTGAAAAAGGACACCTATCTTACGACCTTTCTGAAGTGAGAAGATTGAAAAGAATTGCACACTGACCAAGATGCTCTTTTTTAAATGGAGCACATCAACACTTGGGGCTCTTTTACCAAGTCCATACAGCTGTTCTGCTCTTATTCTTTGACAAATATTCATTTAAATAAGCAGTAGGTTGTGCTTATTCACAATATATGTATTCCTCCTGCCACCCTATTATCCATTCTTAGGCTTTTTTGGTACCCCACAAAAGCTCCCAACATTCTTGACTTACCTTCATGGCTTTGGGTATAGAGAGAACCCTACAAGCACAGAAACAGTTTGGAATACACACGTTCTAGAGCCCATGAGGAAGATATATGGGATAAAGAGGAGTGAAGATGGCAAGTCTCCATAAAAAGAACAGGCACATTTGGTGTGAAGACTCAAGTGTTTGACCTGCAAGGGACCACAAAGGCAAGCAGGTTATTCATTCCTTGTTCCCCCATAACACTTCCTATTCTTCAGTCCTGGGGCTGAGGGGGGGGTGGGGGGGGAAACACCAAAAAAAAAAAAAAAAAAAAACCACACTTCTGCATACAGGCAGAACTTTGTTTTAAATCAGAATCACAGGATAGTAGGGGGTCTTGGGGTCTTGTTAAGAAGCCTTCTCTTTTATGTTTTTGCCTCAGCAGATTTTGATGTTCCAGTTCACCCTCTAGGTATTTATTCCTTTTCCTGTGGGCATCAGCTTTGAAGTACCAAAGGATGGGATGAGGAAAGCTTAAATTTGTAGAATAAGATCAGAAGTTCTTTTGTTTTAGATGTTGGACTTCAGTTTATACACATTTTTATTTATACAGAAAGACTTATTCATTGGCTAACTGTATTTAAAACCAGTCAAATCTGTTAAAAGACAGCTGAATTGAGCTCCAGGCCTTGGTACAGTTATAGTTCTTTTAAAAGCAAGTACAATATTGTAAGCCTAAAAACTTAGGACAATTTCAGAAATTAACTTAAAAATAAATCAAACTGTTGATACGTCATTCATTTTTATACTTAATTCCTTGCTAACAAACCTGATGTAAAACTTCAATCCTCCCACATGATTTGAGGGACTTCAGTGCAGGCTTTAGACCCAAGAGTATGTGGGACTTACCAAGCCTTTCCTTGCTTTAAGCTGGGAGGAAGCATCTAGGAGAGACCCAACTCTCTGGTGGTCATGGGCATTCCTTACAATAAAGGTTTCTCCCTACAATCCTAAAAGCTGTATGGGTGAGGGCTTCATTTAGTGGAAGGATAAACAACTGAAGAAAAGCTCTGGATCCTCTATTTTAGTGCTGCTTAAAAAGAGCAGGAGGCATTCCAGCATCTGAAAAATATTGGAAGATTAGATTGGCATTTAAAGATTGATTTATTTTTTTTTTTTGTAGAAGTCGGTTGGCAGAAGACAGCAAGAAAATATATAGTTAATATTTCAGCAAGCTGTAAACTGATCTAATTTATTCTTAACTGTAAGCAATACAGGAAAAGCCAAAGCAAGAGAATCTACAGGCTCATTTCAAGATTTCAATCCTTTGCGTAGCATGAAAACAAGCCAAATACGATATGGGTGTGATGCTAATCATTCTACAGTTATACTTTGTAGCAAAATATGATTGTAGATAAAAAGCCTAACGCATTTGGGCTGCAATACACATATGAACACACACATATGGTAGTTATTCAGTATGTGTAGTTGCAAGGACTAGTGCTCATATTTCTTTCCACTGTACTGCACTGCTACCTTGCAAGTTCAACCCTAAACAAACAAAACACACAAACAAAACCCCATGGAATTATTTTTTCAACATTTCTCAGAGCAAAAAGATTTAAGTTCTAGCTCCAGAAAGAGGTAGTTAGAACACGAGACAAGTTGCGTTTATTTCTTCAGCATAACTATGAACAAATGCACCATTAAGCAATGTCCTATGGAAGATTAAAAATGCAGCAAAGTGTTTCCAACAGAAATAAAAGAGCATTAGTATTGCTCCACAAGTCAAATCCTTGCAATTCTTGTGCAAAGTAAATTCTCACCTGAAACATTCCATGCAGTTTTGGCTACTCAGACCAGAGGTACCAAACCTTCTCTGTTGATCTCACTGAAGACACTAAAAAGAGTTCTACAGCTCATGCACCGGAACAGGATTAGAAAAAGATCTTGCCTGTAATCTAGGGCAGCCTTTTTTATTCCCCAACAGATGTTTTTAAAAATCCTGAAATACTAAACATCACCTGATGCCACTTTTTACCAACTGCGAAATTCCCGATCAAACCTCCCAATATTGGTTCCAGGACAGGACCTATACCCACCAGCTGCCTGAGCTCCAGCCAGTTGCTTTTCCCTCATCAACCAACTCTCCAAGAAACACCATCAGTAACCGGTCATCATCTGGAGTGTGAACCATCAACAGCTACATTTCAAGTCCAGCTTTCCACTGATTTTTCATTTAGCTAACCTGGTCTTTAGGGATGGGGGATACAACTATGCTCCCAAATTGGTTGTGGTTTTATAAACTGTATCACTTGCGGTAGTCAACATTCTAAGAAGATTCTTTAGAAAAAGATCTAGGGAAAG